CTCACCACTCTCTTTACCTTTCTTTTACTCTCCATATACTCTGCTCTTCTTATAACACTTCTGCTTTGTAAAAACCTCTCATAAGCTAACTTTTTCTCTTTTATCACACCCTTTACTTCATCATTCCACCAATCACTCCACTTTCCTCCTGCCCCCACCCTCCTATAACCACAAACTTCTGCCCCACATAATAATACTGCATTTTTAAAACTATTCCAACCCTCTTCAACCCCCCCACTACTCATCTTTGCACTAGCCCACCTTTCTGCCAATAGTCGCTTATATCTCACCCGAACTTCCTCCTCCCTTAGTTTATACACTTTCACCTCCCTCTTACTTGTTGTTGCCACCTTCCTCTTTTCCCATCTACCTCTTACTCTAACTGTAGCTACAACTAAATAATGATCCGATATATCAGTTGCCCCTCTATAAACATGTACATCCTGGAGCCTACCCATCAACCTTTTATCCACCAATACATAATCTAATAAACTACTTTCATTATGTGCTACATCATACCTTGTATATTTATTTATCCTCTTTTTCATAAAATATGTATTACTTACTACCAAATCTCTTTCTACACATAGCTCAATTAAAGGCTTCCCATTTACATTTACCCCTGGCACCCCAAATTTACCTACTACTCCCTCTATAACATTTTTACCCACTTTAGCATTGAAATCCCCAATCACCATTACTCTCACACTTGATTCAAAACTCCCCACGCATTCACTCAACATTTCCCAAAATCTCTCTCTCTCTCTCTACACTTCTCTCTTCTCCAGGTGCATACACGCTTATTATAACCCACTTTTCACATCCAATCTTTATTTTACTCCACATAATCCTTGAATTAATACATTTATAGTCCCTCTTTTCCTGCCATAGCTTATCCTTCAACATTATTGCTACTCCTTCTTTAGCTCTAACTCTATTTGAAACCCCTGACCTAATCCCATTTATTCCTCTCCACTGAAACTCTCCCACCCCCTTCAGCTTTGTTTCACTTAAAGCCAGGACATCCAGCTTCTTCTCATTCATAACATCCACAATCATCTCTTTCTTATCATCTGCACAACATCCACGCACATTCAGACTTCCCACTTTGACAATTTTCTTCTTCTTATTCTGTTTAGTAATCTTTACAGGAAAAGGGGTTACTAGCCCATTGTTCCTGGCATTTTAGTTGACTTTTACAACACGCATGGCTTACGGAGGAAAGATTCTTATTCCACTTCCCCATGGATATAAAAGGAAAAGTAATAAGACCAAGAACTATTAAGATAAAATTAAAGAAAACTCAGATGAGTGTGTATAAATAAATGTGTACATGTATGTGTAGTGTGACATAAGTGTAAGTAGAAGTAGTAAGACATACCTGTAATCTTGCATATTTATGAGACAGACAAAAGACATCAGCAATCCTACCATCATGTAAAACAATCACAGGCTTTCGTTTTACACTCACTTGGTAGGACGGTAGTACCTCCCTGGGTGGTTGCTGTCTACCAACCTACTACCTACATTATTATTACATTATTATTATTATTATTGTATATTCATAAAAAGGCTTTGAACTTGTATGGGTCAGACAGCACTAAATGGCAGAGGGCTGGTGATAGGGAAACTTTATGTGATGGAAAAAATACTGTACTATATGTGCAAAACGGAAAGTTAAAGTTGATGTAACAAGCCAGTTTTGTTCAAGAAATCTGAGGGTATAGTAACATAGTTAATGTACTCTGATAATGGCTGCTGACAGTCACTTACCTCTTACCTTGTCATCCTCTGTCAAGATGAGTTTGACTTTGTCCTGTGCCATGAGGCATGAGAATACATGTACAGTATTACAAAATTTCATACCTGATGGTATCCAACAAAGCCAAACTCATTCTAATAGAATAACAGGGTTTGGAGGAAGTGCCTTGAAGCACCTGTCATCAGATCGCATAACACCATCAAATAAAAGAAAGTCACTTTCACCCTGACAGAGAGGCAGACTGGCCATACAGGAATTTGGGCAATGCCCGGTGGGCCACTGGGCTGGGTAAAAAAAAAAAAAAAAAAAAAAAAGTCACAAAAAACTGAAGTCATAGCCGCTGCACAAAAACTGAAACAAAAATTGAACCCACCTTAGCTGGGCAGTGAAAACATTCCTCTGGCCCTCAACAGTTAAAGAGCCAACCTGATAGGTGACGGATCCCCAGAATGGGGAAGAGTAATAAGTAGGGTACCACAAGGATCAGTATTACAACCAATGCTTTTTGTGGTTTATGCTGACAACATACCAGGTGGAATTAAGTCAGATGCATCTCTATTTGTTGATGATGTAAAACTAATGAGAATGCAAACAGACGAGGACAGGAAAAGGCTACTAAAGGATCTGGACAAATTGCAGGGTTAGTCAAATAAGTGGCTCCTTTAATCTAACCCCAGTAAATGCAAGGTTATAAGCTTAGGGAAAGAACCAGAAGACCAGACACAGAGTACAGACTTGGAAGATGATGGCTGCAGACCTCATTCAAAGAGAAGGAACTGGGAGTAAGTATAGTGCCTACCATATCACCCAAGGTTCACATCAACTGAATAACCTCTGAAGCCAATGCTCGCCTGGCAAATTTGAGTGGCCTTCGGGAATCTCATCAGAGTCATTTCAGGTGCTTTATACAACTTATGTCAGGACTATCCTGAAGTACACAGCACCAGTATAGTGCCCACACTTAAAGAAACACATTAAGAAACTGGAGAAGTATGCAACGAGACTCCTTCCAGAGCTAAGGGGTACAAGCTATGAGGAAAGGCTGAAGGAATTGAATCTCACGACTCTAGAGGACAGGAGAACCTGAGAAGATGTAATAATACTCAAAATACTCAGAGGAATTAATAGGGCAGACAAGAACAGGCTGTTTGAGAGGTGGGAAACAGGTACACAAATAACCCGCACATAAGAGAGAAGCTTACGTCGTCGTAAGCTTCTCTCTTTTATGTGCGGGTTATTTGTGTATCGTTCCAGTCACGGTATTGTGCCTTTTTGTTATTTATTTGTGGGAAACAGGTACTCGAGGGCACACCTGGAAGCTCAATACACAGATGAGTCACAGGGATGTCAGGAAGTATTTCTTCAATCTCAAGGTGGTAGGGATGTGGAATGGCCTCAATGAAGAAGTGGTAGAGGCCGACTTCATACATAGTAACTTTCCAGCACAAGGCTCTGCCCTGACACCACCTGTGACCTGACCTCCCACCTCCTGTCATCACTGCAGATGTGACCTCTGCTTCCTTCTCCATTTCACCAGAATGTATATTTAAGGTCATCTAAAAATAAAGACTTCCTACATATTTTTTTTTTTTTTTCAACAAACTGGCCATATCCCACCGAGGCAGGGTGGCCCAAAAAGAAAAACAAAAGTTTCTCCTTTTTAAATTTAGTAATCTATACAGAAGGGGTTACTAGCCCCTTGTTCCCGGCATTTTAATCGCCTCTTACAACACGCATGGCTTACGGAGGAAGAATTCTGTTCCTCTTCCCCATGGAGATAAGAGGAAATAAACAAGAACAAGAACTAGAAAGAAAATAGAAGAAAACCCAGAGGGGTGTGTATATATATGCTTATACATGTATGTGTAGTGTGACCTAAGTGTAAGAAGTAGTAGCAAGACGTACCTGAAATCTTGCATGTTTATGAGACAGAAAAAAGACACCAGCAATCTTACCATCATGTAAAACAATTACAGGCTTTCGTTTTACACTCACTTGGCAGGACAGTAGCATACCTCCCTGGGCAGTTGCTGTCTACCAACCTACTACCTAGGTTCCTATGTATTTACATGTCTTTATACCCACTTGTCAGCTTGCTGCCTCACTCAATATTCTGTATGACTTATCACTCTAGGTAAATACAGTACCAATATAATATACTGTACTGTTAATCTAAACCCTATTATAAAATTATTGCACAATTATTATAGTACAGTACACTATAAATCAGCTACAGTAGTGGTTAGAAAATGTTAAAACACAGTGAACTACAGTGCTTATAACACCGCATACTAAAGTAGCAACAGAATACCAGAGAAGATTCATTAAACTGAAGGAGTAACAATATGTACTGACTACAGTACATTGCTTACACAATACACTACAGACAAGATGCTGTAAACTACCCTGGTAAGAGCATGTTGTACTATAAAAGATATAGCAAATTACAGTACAGTACAGTACAGTACGTATAGTTCCAATATACAGTACTACAGTAAACACTGAAAACTACTAGTGACAGTAAGATACTGTACAACAAAAATTAATTATACAGAGAACCCTTGATTTAAGAGATTAATAAGGGGAAGGAGGATGTCCATTAAAGTCAATCATCTGGTAAATCCAAATTATGAGAATATTTTTCCAGGATCCAAACAGTAGCGGACAATTTTCAGATCCTGTTACAACGAGGCCCATTAAATCAAGGATTTACTGTACTATTATTATTTATATACATAAAAGCAGAAAACAAATTACAGCAGTGATACATTATACAGGTGCTGTAGTAGATAAACTCAAGAGATATAGGAAAGCGGAGAAATGTCAGTAAATGCAGGGCATAAGACAAGGGTCCAACCAGCGCACAATCTTTCAAATAATACTGTGCTAGTTTTACAAATCTAGACAATAATTTACTTGAATCAGGCATTGCATTTCTTCAATTCTCTGTTTTCAGATACATACATCAGAATTAGAAAATCATTCAGAGTTTCATGGCTACATGGACCCTCTCAATCAAGTTATGTTAACAATATTACCACAGTATTACTGTATTACATTCATGGGTAAGGGCTTAACCCATAAGGGTAATGCAGCACCTGGGGGAATAGGTATCAATCAAGTTTGATGCACAGAAATGGTAGGTGGCCCCCAATTCCTTGGATCAAATGCCCTTCTCTAGCATCACTGCAACCCTCATCCCCCTTGAAGCAGTACAATGAAGGAGAATTATGCCTACTTTCCCTTCTGGAGCTCCAAAGAACCACTTGGCCATTAGCTCCCAACAAACATTCAAACTCCTCCTCATTCCCCTCCTTCTCCTCCTCCTCCTCATCATCATCACGTTGTGGCTTGCTGCCCTCTTGAGATGCATGTCTGCAGCCACCTGATGTGTCTGCTTGTGCCATCTTGTACAACACTGATACCTCACTCTGGCCAAAGTTCTCCTTACCTGAAATTTATCACCAAGTCCAGTACTCATTTTTACATGTCAAAGTGACATTTAAAATACATTTACTACTTTTATGCAAAATGTATTATGCTACCAGACTTTTCTACAGTGCAAAGACATTCTTTATTAATATTTAATAATGCTATATGAGATTACATTACTATATCCTCTGTCAATATATACCAAATTACTAATATGTATAGTACTATTTATACCCAGTAAGAGATACACTGGTATACTAGTCAACATAAATACAAAATACAACACAAATACAAAAATATCTCAACAATATCTGTATCTGCCTCATTCCTGCCCTTGAATTTCTTTTTACTTCAAGGGGTGTGCCTTGATCCAAAGGATTAGAGCCACTTTTCCCTTCCCTGAATTAAAAACTTCAACTACATCATTTGTGGTGTTTAGTAATTCCAAGCAAATGAGTGACTGTGACATACATGCCAACCCCATCCCCCTTGTTGCTTGTTCTTTCTGTTGCATCTGAATAAGTTGTACCCTGGGATCCATACTTCGTTGTCAAAGTGATCCTGATTATCTCTCGTCCCCCATGTGCTGTATGACACCTATGGGTTCAGCACTTTCCCAGGAATATAACAAGAATAATAACTGCCTCACAGCAAAACAAAAGTAAAATATTTGGACAAAATTCACCCATACAATTCTACAGGTAAGAGTGCATATCTGGAGTATACCTGGAGGGTGTTCTGGGGGTCAATGCCCCCACGGCCTGGACCATGACCAAGTCATAAAAAAAAATTTCCTCCCTCTTTAACATCAATTTAGCTGAAAAATGACCATGTTGATTACACATAATACAATATATCACAAATATTTCTGAAGAAAATTGAACATAATCTGTTGTCGTGTTGTACATAATACATACTGTATAAGTGAACATTAAGCTTATCACTTTTTACTACTCTTGTCTGATCAGCAATTAATCATAAAGGTTTTTATTATATATTAGTACATCTGAATCCTTGGTACCCATACTGAAACATGAGAAGCAAAGGTTAATTTATCCTTAGGTGTGTTAAAGATGCTGTACTGGCTACTGCCAACACTGGCCATGGCATGACTCCAATGCTGTCAGTACCCCCACCCCTCAGTCACAATCCCTCACCATTGTAACCCCTCACCCCTGACCATCACAAACCCTCACTCATCATCACAAACCCCCTCACTGGAGTGTTAAAAAAATTATCATCAATTACTATTTTCAACTATCATTCTATTTACATATTGTAATATGCTCATAATGTTATTGTAAGGCAGCTGATGCCTTTCCAGTATAGGAACATAAGAACGAAAGCACACTGCACCAGGCTTAATGACCCATACTAGATAGGTTTAACTCACACTCACTTGTATACCTATCCAACCTATTATAATATTTAATGATGCTACCCAGGAATTTGTTCCATTCATTTACAATTCTAGTACCAGACTAGTACCTTCTTATATCCTTTCTAAATCTAAGTTCCTCTCCTCTAACTTGAATCCATTAATGTGAATCCCATCTTGGTTATATACTTTAACTACATTACTTATATCACCTCTATTTATTCCTGTTGTTAATTTGTACACTTCTAGTTCTAAGTCTTTCTAAAGTGCAAAGTCATTGCCTTCAGTCTATCTTCGCAGGAAGGATTTCTGATACGTGGGATCAACTTAGTAACTTAGTCATCCTCTTCTGTGTATTTTCCACTGCATTTATGTCCATTCTGTAAAATGGAAACTAGAACTGAGCAGCAAATCTAAAGAAGGACTTTCCAAAGATATATAAAATTGGAATATAACCTTAGACCCTCCATTATTTATATTTCTTGATGTGAAGCCATGAATCCCATTGGAAATCTAAGTAAAAATGGATTTTTGCTAAGTGTAAATTTTACAGATTCCCTTTCTCAGTAATACATCCTTGTTTAGTGAAAGCTGACTGTATAATAAATACACAAATTTTAAGTCTGAAGCTATTTAACCCTTAAACGGTCCAAACGTATATATACGTCCACTCGCGTAGCACCCCAAACGTATATATACGTTTTCTTTGTCATTCATTCAACATTGCCACATTAAGCCCGAGTCACCTAGACATGAGAGAATGGGTGTGCGCACTCACTGTGTGCCATATTAAAATAATTGGGGATGCCTGGGTACCATATGCTCTTTTTCCCTTTTAAAAGAAAAGATTGTTTTTTTCCTCAAAAAAGTTGGGGCGCTACGCGAGTGAACGCATATATACGTTTGGACCGTTTAAGGGTTAAATAAGGTATTCTCAAATTAACAGAACCAAAGCAACTTCTAATCAGTTTGAAGCAACTCTAACAAATATTATATGACCTTTAGTCTATTAAAACATCTGCCAATCCATAAAATATTACTGTTTGAACCATTAATTGTAATATTGCTTTTATTATGTGCAACTTCAAGATTATTATTGTCATAAACCTCCACCCTAACCTAGCATTAGTATTAAAATAAAGATTTAATACAAAGATACCCAGTCTTATCTTGTCTAGACTTTGGTAGTTATTATGTACATGCACTTGGATTAGTTTGCCCAAAATGCCCCAGCATAATAGTGGCTTTCTTTGTACTTAACAAATCAAAACTGTAATTACACACTGTAACCTTTGTAAAGAAATAAAATCTTTAATCTTTTAAGTCATAAAACTAATACATTTACACCTACACAGTCCAATAACAATCCAAACTTCCCTCTATGTATGTCTGAAAGTTTTTATTATAAAAATTTTCCAGTTTTAAGTGTACCATGAAATAGAGATGTATACAGTATATTTAGTACTTACGGGAAAAAAAAGAGTTTTGTTTATATAACCTAATGTGATGTTATCAAAAAGGAAATAAGTCAGTTTGTCAGAATTTTTTGGATTACCTTAAGTAATTTACACATGTTAAACTCTTCATGCTAACTGTACTTATGTGTATCTGTACCTAAATATACTTACCCAATTTTAATGCTTCATTTCTATGTATCCAAACAATAACTCCAATGCAATACCTATTTAATAAACAAGAATTTACATGTTTTATTTTGCATATAGTAATAATAATAATAAGCTGCACAAAAAATGTAGTTAAATGCATTAGTACAATAGACAGAAAAGAAAACCACTAAATGTGCAATAAATTTCAGGCAACTATTCATGCTACTTAAGAATGAGACATAGACTATTAAGTAGGCCTTCTTGTGCAGTTAACTACAATCATAAGTAAAATAAGAATGATAGTTAATAACAAAATATCAATTAAAAAAGAATTATCACTTAGTAAGTTTATTTAGGTACAAATATATAAGTGCAATTATTATACATACTAACGTGTGTAAATTACCCACCAGGATAACCCAAAAAAGTCAGTGACTTATTTCAGTAGGGTCCTTCTAATAGTATCTTATTATTTAAAGCCTAGTTTAAGATGCAGTAGAAAGCTGTAAGATGCTGTAGAAAGCTGTAAGATGCTGTAGAAAGCTGTAAGATGCTGTAGAAAGCTGTAAGATGCTGAAGAAAGCTGTAAGATGCTGAAGAAAGCTGTAAGATGCTGAAGAAAGTTGTAAGATGCTGAAGAAAGCTGTAAGATGCAATAGAATGGAACAGACTGCCCGCACATGTCAAAGCCAGTCATAGCATGAACCAGTTCAAGAAGACTGCCAAAAAGTGTCTGATGAATGAAGCTACAGAAATGGAGTGGAATGATTTTCTATTTTTTAGCTAAAATACGTGTAAATTTTACCTTATCCCTAGTAATGACCCTCGTATTGTAGATAGTCTTAATGACCCTCGTGTAGTAGATAGTCTTTTTAGTATGATAATAAGATGTTATCTTCATTGTAGAATAATAAGAAAATATTATAACCTTTATATTATAATAATAAGGTAAAAGGACCCCAATGGAAATAAGTCACTCTGTCTGACTTTTTTGGGTTATCCCAGGTTCTCTACACATATGCTGCTATGTATGATAATTCTATGCAACTGTATTTGTGTATACCTGAATAAATTTACTTACTTATTTACTTACTAAGGTGCAATAGAAAGGTGTAAGATGCTGTAGAAAGGTGTAAGATGCTGTAGAAAGGTGTAAGATGCTGTAGAAAGGTGTAAGATGCTGTAGAAAGGTGTAAGATGCTGTAGAAAGGTGTAAGATGCTGTAGAAAGGTGTAAGATACAACAGAAAGCTGTACGATACAATAGAAAGCTGTACGATACAATAGAAAGCTGTAGAATACAGTAGAAAGCTGTAAGATACAATAGAAAACTGTAAAACACAATAGAAAGATGTAAGAAAAACTAGAAAGCTGTAAGAAATAAATAATTTGCATAGCAAATAACTTTTCCATGGAATGGATCACATGGTTGTTATTTATAATATAAAAGATTACGGGATTTTTCTCCAGGGAAAAAAATTGTAAATAATAACTATGATATAGTAACAATAAAGATGATATATTAAAAAATAAATGGTGGTCAAGGGACGGGGAGGGAATTGAGCACTAGGGTCAAGGTGGTGGAGCACCAGGGTCAAGGTGGAGCACCAAGGTCAAGGGGGTGGAGCACCAGGGTCAAGGGGGTGGAGCACCAGGGTCAAGGGGTGGAGCACCAGGGTCAAGGGGGTGGAGCACCAGGGTCAAGGGGGTGGAGCACCAGGGTCAAGGGGGTGGAGCACCAGGGTCAAGGGGTGGAGCACCAGGGTCAAGGGGTGGATCGCCTGGGTCAAGGTGGAGCACCAAGGTCAAGGGGTGGAGCACCAGGGTCAAGGGGGTGGAGCACCAGGGTCAAGGGGGTGGAGCACCAGGGTCAAGGGGGTGGAGCACCAGGGTCAAGGGGGTGGAGCACCAGGGTCAAGGGGTGGAGCACCAGGGTCAAGGGGGTGGATCGCCTGGGTCAAGGTGGAGCACCAAGGTCAAGGGGGTGGAGCACCAGGGTCAAGGGGGTGGAGCACCAGGGTCAAGTGGGTGGATCGCCTGGGTCAAGGTGGAGCACCAAGGTCAAGGGGGTGGAGCACCAGGGTCAAGGGGGTGGAGCACCAGGGTCAAGGGGGTGGAGCACCAGGGTCAAGGGGGTGGAGCACCAGGGTCAAGGGGGGATCGCCTGGGTCAAGGTGGAGCACCAAGGTCAAGGGGTGGAGCACCAGGGTCAAGGGGGTGGAGCACCAGGGTCAGGGGGTGGAGCACCAGGGTCAGGGGGGGTAGATCACCAGGGTCAAGGTGGAGCACCAAGGTCAAGGGGGTGGAGCACCAGGGTCAAGGGGGTGGAGCACCAGGGTCAAGGTGGAGCACCAAGGTCAAGGGGGTGGAGCACCAGGGTCAAGGGAGTGGAGCACCAGGGTCAAGGGGGTGGAGCACCAGGGCCAAGGTGGAGCACCAAGGTCAAGGGGTGGAGCACCAGGGTCAGGGGGTGGAGCACCAGGGTCAGGGGGGGTGGATCACCAGGGTCAAGGTGGAGCACAAAGGTCAAGGGAGTGGAGCACCAGGGACAGAGGGGTGGAGCACAAGGGACAGAGGGGTGGAGCACCAGGATCAAGGGGGTGGAGCACTAGGGTCAAGGGGGCTGGAGCACCAGTGTTAAGGGAGGTGGAGCACCAGTCAGGGGGTGGAACACCAATGTCAAGGGGGGTGGAACACCAGGGTAGAGGGGATGGAACACTAGTGTCAAGAGGGTGGAGCACCAGTGTCAAGGGGGTGAAACACCAGGGTCGAGGGGGTGGAACACCAGTGTCAAAAGGGTGGAACACCACAAGGGGGTGGAGCACCAGCGTCAGGTGGAACACCAGTGTCAGGTGGAGCACCAGTGTCAGGGGGGGTAAAGCACAAGTGTCAGGGGGTGAAGCACCAGTGTCAGGGGGGTGAAGCACCAGTGTCAGGAGGGTGAAGCACCAGTGTCAGGGGGGTGAAGCACCAGTGTCAGGGGGGTGAAGCACCAGTGTCAGGGGGGTGAAGCACCAGCATCAGGTGGTGTAGCACCAGCATCAGGTGGAGCACCAGCATCAGGTGGTGGAGCACCAGCATCAGGTGGTGGAGCACCAGCATCAGGCGGTGGAGCACCAGCATCAGGTGGAGCACCAGCATCAGGTGGAGCACCAGCATCAGGTAGTGGAGCACCAGCATCAGGTAGTGGAGCACCAGCATCAGGTAGTGGAGCACCAGCATCAGATAGTGGAGCACCAGCATCAGGTAGTGGAGCACCAGCATCAGATAGTGGAGCACCAGCATCAGGTAGTGGAGCACCAGCATCAGGTAGTGGAGCACCAGCATCAGATAGTGGAGCACCAACATCAGATAGTGGAGCACCAGCATCAGGTAGTGGAGCACCAAAGGTGGAACCAAGTCTTGCCTCCACGTTCAGGATCCAGGAGCTCCTCCTTAGAGAAATGGTGCACCTCAGATGTGACAGAGTTCTCAGCCTCAGCCATGGTCTTGAGAGTGGAGCACTGAGCACACTAGACTGGTCTGGGACCCACACAGGCTCCACTTACACTGCCAGACCAAAATACCAACACTAACCACTGAGGCGCCTCGGCCAAGACTTGGCCAGTTACCACGTATATCTATAAGTAAATATATTGAGGCACAAGTACACATAAGTACAATTATCATACACACACTAATGTATATTAAAATATATTGTTCCATAACCTGTGCCAATACAGAGTAAGAATTAAGATTAGACTGGCCGAAATGCCTAGGCATGTCAGTGGCTTTCTTTGTAATTAATATTTATATGTAAACCACACATACAGAGATTTTCATTACATGGTGTAAATTACGTCGTGTAACCCCCCCCCCTAAAAAAAAAGTCGAAGTGACTTACTTCTATTGGTGTTCTAGAGAAATTAAAACTATGTACTTCCTAAAAGTAGTCTTAATAAGTTTATTTAAGTACAGGTACACACATAAATAGTTATATAACTTATTAAACATAGTGGCCCGGTGGCCTGGTAGTGGCCCGGTGGCCTGGTAGTGGCCCGGTGGCCTGGTAGTGGCCCGGTGGCCTGGTAGTGGCCCGGTGACCTGGTAGTGCCCCGGTGGCCTGGTAGTGGCCCGGTGGCCTGGTAGTGGCCCGGTGGCCTGGTAGTGGCCCGGTGACCTGGTAGTGGCCTGGTAGTGGCCCGGTGGCCTGGTAGTGGCCCGGTGGCCTGGTAGTGGCCCGGTGACCTGGTAGTGCCCGGTGGCCTGGTAGTGGCCCGGTGGCCTGGTAGTGGCCCGGTGGCCTGGTAGTGGCCCGGTGACCTGGTAGTGGCCTGGTAGTGGCCCGGTGGCCTGGTAGTGGCCCGGTGGCCTGGTAGTGGCCCGGTGACCTGGTAGTGGCCCGGTGGCCTGGTAGTGGCCCGGTGACCTGGTAGTGGCCCGGTGGCCTGGTAGTGGCCCGGTGGCCTGGTAGTGGCCGGTGACCTGGTAGTGGCCCGTGGCCTGGTAGTGGCCCGGTGGCCTGGTAGTGGCCCGGTGGCCTGGTAGTGGCCCGGTGGCCTGGTAGTGGCCCGGTGGCCTGGTAGTGGCCCGGTGGCCTGGTAGTGGCCCGGTGGCCTGGTAGTGGCCTGGTAGTGGCCTGGTAGTGGCCCGGTGGCCTGGTAGTGGCCCGGTGGCCTGGTAGTGGCCCGGTGACCTGGTAGTGGCCCGGTGGCCTGGTAGTGGCCCGGTGGCCTGGTAGTGGCCCGGTGGCCTGGTAGTGGCCCGGTGGCCTGGTAGTGGCCCGGTGGCCTGGTAGTGGCCCGGTGGCCTGGTAGTGGCCCGGTGGCCTGGTAGTGGTCCGGTGACCTGGTAGTGCCCCGGTGGCCTGGTAGTGGCCCGGTGGCCTGGTAGTGGCCCGGTGGCCTGGTAGTGGCCCGGTGACCTGGTAGTGGCCTGGTAGTGGCCCGGTGGCCTGGTAGTGGCCCGGTGGCCTGGTAGTGGCCCGGTGACCTGGTAGTGGCCCGGTGGCCTGGTAGTGGCCCGGTGACCTGGTAGTGGCCCGGTGGCCTGGTAGTGGCCCGGTGGCCTGGTAGTGGCCCAGTGACCTGGTAGTGGCCCAGTGGCCTGGTAGTGGCCCGGTGGCCTGGTAGTGGCCCGGTGGCCTGGTAGTGGCCCGGTGGCCTGGTAGTGGCCCGGTGGCCTGGTAGTGGCCCGGTGGCCTGGTAGTGGCCCGGTGGCCTGGTAGTGGCCCGGTGGCCTGGTAGTGGCCTGGTGGCCTGGTAGTGGCCCGGTGGCCTGGTAGTGGCCCGGTGGCCTGGTAGTGGCCTGGTGGCCTGGTAGTGGCCTGGTAGTGGCCCGGTGGCCTGGTAGTGGCCCAGTGACCTGGTAGTGGCCCGGTGGCCTGGTAGTGGCCCGGTGGCCTGGTAGTGGCCCGGTGGCCTGGTAGTGGCCCGGTGGCCTGGTAGTGGCCCGGTGGCCTGGTAGTGGCCCGGTGACCTGGTAGTGGCCCGGTGGCCTGGTAGTGGCCCGGTGGCCTGGTAGTGGCCCGGTGGCCTGGTAGTGGCCCAGTGGCCAGGTAGTGGCCCGGTGGCCTGGTAGTGGCCCGGTGGCCTGGTGGCTAAAGCTCCCGCTTCACACACGGAGGGCCCGGGTTCGATTCCCGGTGGGTGGAAACATTTCGACACGTTTCCTTACACCTGTTGTCCTGTTCACCTAGCAGCAAATAGGTACCTGGGTGTTAGTCGACTGGTGTGGGTCGCATCCTGGGGGACAAGATTAAGGACCCCAATGGAAATAAGTTAGACAGTCCTTGATGACGCACTGACTTTCTTGGGTTATCCTGGGTGGCTAACCCTCCGGGGTTAAAAATCCGAACGAAATCTTATCTTATCTCTTAGTATATGTGTAAATTACCTAGGATAACTCAGAGTCGAAGTGACTTAATTCCAATGTACTTACGTGTAATTTTTAAGTATGATTATAATAATAATTTTAATGCAAATATAAATCTTTATTTCGTAATTACTGTACAAAACATGCAACAATCTGAAGACCCATAAGAATCCACAGCATTTCAGCCAAAATCTGCCCTGTACTTAAACATTTATATAGTTTTATCTATGGGTCTAATATACATGGTATTATTATGAACTTATAGATACAAATTTATTCATAAAAAGTCTTTTTCTAAGAGGGTGAGCGCTGTTAGTTAATTCACTTATAATAATAATAATAATAATAATAATAATAATTTATTTCAGCATGATACAATGTTTGTATAATGGGGAATGATATTTGGGTGTACATGTAGATTATTATAAAGGGGAAGCGCTAAACCCGTAGGATTATACAGCGCAGGTTGGGGGGATGTGGAAGGCATTCAGGCTTAATTCAGGGAACTGGAGCACAGATCCAATTCCTTAGATCAAGAGCTCCTCACCAGCATCAAGGAACCTTCCTTGAGGGGCAAAAAAAGAAAGAAAGAATTTTCATCATACAACACTTTCACCATTATTCACACAATATCACTCTCTTTGCAGAGGAGCACGGATATGGCAATTTACATGTCACTCCAAACAGCCAATATCTCAAACCCCTCATTTACAGTGCAGGCATTGTACTTCCCATTTCAAGTCCGGCTAACCGGTTTCCCTGAATCCCTTCACTAAATATTACCCTGCTCACACTCCAACAGCTCGTCAGATCCCAAAAACCATTCGTCTCCATTCACTCCTATTTAACACTCACTATTATAACTTTTTTTTTTCTTGCACTATGAAATCTTTCTGTATAACCCTTGTGGCTTAGTGCTTCTTTTTGATTATATTATTATTATAATCAAGGGGGAAGCGCTAAACCCGGAGGATTATACAGCGCCTGGGGGGGGGGGGACGTGGAAGGCATTCAGGTTTAATTCGGGTAACTGAAGCACAGATCCAATTCCCTAAATCAAAAGCCCCTCACCAACATCAAGGAACCTTCCTTGAGGGGTTTTTGAGTATAATAATATGAAATCTTTGAACCTTTTTTTTCCAACCATGTTTACACATAATTGCACCATGGGTGTCACTTTGTTTATTATTATTATTATAATCACGGGAGCACTAAACCCGCAGAATTATACAGCGCATGTAGGGGGGATGGAAGGTATTCAGGCTCAATTCAGGGAACCAGAACAGATCCAACTCCCTAGATCAAAAGCTCCTCACCAGCGTCAAGGCACCTCCCTTGTAGGGATCACTTTATGAGGGTTTACTGTGAAACCCCACAGCTCATAGTGCTAGTTTAAATTAATTTCTGCAACAAGTGCAAATACTGTATCCAGTGTGTTATGCTCATTATCGTTACATTCATGTGGGAAGCGACAGGGGTTAGCACTAAACCCATAGGGGGTCTTATAGTGCCTGAGGAAATGAATGCATTCAGACTATTCAAGGCCTTGCAGTATTGGTTCAATTCCTTAGATCAAGAGCCCCTCACCAGCACCAAGAAGCCTCCTTCAAGATGTTTTGTTCATTGAGATTTAGAGCTTCCTCCACAATATTTTAAAAAATAATCTGTTAAAGATCTTGTATAAACACCACTTGTTTGCAACTTGTTTTCTCTGACTTTGCTCTTCCTTTTGGCCACTAGTTCAGTATACATAATAGCAGTATACTTTTGTGGGAAAGAACTCTGCAAGATCCTTTAGCAAGTAATGTCAGATAATCTGTAATAGCATGGTCACCCAATGTCTTAAGTCACACAAGTAGCCAGGCCTAGTATGTTGTCCATACATTATATCCATAGTACGTACTTAAATATTATATGGGACAAGAAGAATTAACTTCGTGCAAGACTTTTTATTTCATATTAATACATATCGTAATACATGAAGACATTATGACTCGGCATCTCTTTCCAATATGTCACAGCTTAATAAACTATTCCATTACAAAACACTAATGACATTTTTATTTTAAATTTATCTTATTTTATACAGTCCCTAATTTGACAAACCATACTAACCGGTTTCTATTGGTTCTCGCTTTCCAAAAGTAAATGTTCACTAAAAAGTAAAAATAAATAAACCATTTGATATTTGATAAATAAAAATTATTTTTAAGCTACAGCCAGTGAATCATGTAAGCAACCAATCTAAGTATTCAAAGACTCCTATACATATATATGCCAGAATGAAGTACATAAGTAAGATCTTTATTGAAGCAAATGGGAATAATAATTATAACAAATAATAATAATAATAATATAAATCAAAGCAGTGTAATTCTTGTATCATTTTAAGATGTATACAGTACTGACAATGCACAGTCAAATAGGGTAGGTATGTAGGTAATAAGATATCTGAATTGGATCATAACAAATACGTATTTGGCTAAAATTCTTTATAACTCTCAATAAACAAAATTCAACAGCCAAAAGTAAATTTACAAATAGTTTTTTTTTTATATTTTTGGTTGGAGCACGTTCAAATAAAAAAATATCCGATGAATAATATTATCATCCAGCTGAATTACATTATAGCCAGTGCCTACTCACCAGTATACTCTCGTCTTGCTCACTCGCTCAACATATGAACAAAATTATTCCCAAGATGGTACAAAGCTACTCAAATATAATATTGTTTACTGTATATAATTGCAGGTAATGTAGGCTGGATAAATATACCATATCTAACAAAGGCTTTTTACAGAAAAATCACCAGTAGGAGTAATATTTAACAGTGAAAGACCAGAAAAAATTATGGATATGTATACTGTATACATATGCAAAAACAACTACATGATGAAAAGAGAATATGAGAGCTTTCATGTACTATATTGTACAGTATTAATCAAAGAATATGTACAGTGTTCTTGGAAGTGTGTTAGTACATTTAGGCACTAACATATATTTTCTTTTTTAATAGTCGTTTTTCTCATCATTGAATTGTGTTGTGTGTGTGTATGCAAATATACATGTATATGCGTGGGGTGGGGATGTTGCAGTTGAAGGGTCATCTGAATTTTGAAGTCTACACACTTCTGGTAAGACAGCAATTGATAGAATGTGGTGAATGTTTTCTTTTTTAGGTCACACTGCCTTGGTGGGAAACAGTCATTGAAGTTAAAATATATATGTATAATTAATCATACTACACCCACAAATATCTCATGTTTTAAAGTGGTCAAACAAGCCAAATTTTCTTTTTACTATTTTTACTCAAGTTTAATAATATACATTTATAGATAAATTCCCAAAATAAATGTTAAAATAATAATTTATTTAGCATCCTAACAACCTTCATAAAATGTGTAATGCCATATTGCATCACATAAAAATGTCTAACCTGTGCAAGGTTAGCCTTATTTACCGTCAATGAACTACAGTAGAGTGTATGTTCATTTTTGTGACATAGCTACGAGATTTTTGCAGAACTTGAGTAAATGTAGACATAAAGCAGTCTTTGAATAGCAGAGTTGTCAGATTCTATCTATAAAGCACATGTGAATGCAGGTAATTATGAATTCGTAAGAAATTATTTATAGGTACAGGGATAGAGCAATGCTTGTAGTGTCTCATCTTCATAAATTAGTTTCATCCCCCAAGTAGTTTTATCAGTTGTCTTTAAATCAATATTTTCTCTGAATATAGTACCTTTTTACTGTATTTGTGGGCAAGTCTTGCACCATCCAACATTAGTTCCATCATATAATTTTCTAGAGTACTTCAGTAGTTTTAATATTTACTATTGCACCTCATTTTTTAACACCATTAGAGATCATCACTGTTTGTGAAGAAATATTTTTAGTACTATAGTATCATTACAGTATTACTTTTTCCTCGGTTTACAATTGTGACCTCTTATTCGTCTTGTTGATGGTGCTAAAATCTGTATTTGAAAAGGTTAATTTTTATCAGCTTTTAAAGCTGGGTGTGTTTCTCTTGCCTGCTCTGTTGGCCAAGGTGAAAAACAGGCAAGAGCAGTTACATGAAAAAGTTTACAATATTTTGCAGAGGGCATTAGCAAGTCACAAACTGACCAGTTTGTGACTAAGATCCTGAGTGGGCAAACCATTGTCTTTATAATTTTTTTTTTTTATCTGTGGGGAACCTTTTGTAGTATATCTTTAGATTTTTTTTATTTTATCTCATTTTATGCACACACACCAATACTGCATGTTCCAATTCTGGTTTGGCATATGTAGTTTTTAAATCACCATCCATACACTGTACCTTAAAATTATTTCTATTTCTGAAGCTTGCCAGTAGTATTAGCTGCTTTGTAGTTGCATTTATGTAATCTGGTGATAACCTACTCCTGTGTCTCCCTTCTTTTCGACGCTATCACATCGCTTAGCTTATTTCTCAGTTGGCCTGTTTATACTATCCTGTTTCAGTTTTATGGTATTCCTGTTTGTAAATCTGTCTGAGAGGGACCCTATATTTGTGTTTGTAATACCTGGGGTGACCTCCACTGTGTCCCTTCCTAATACTGTACATTTTTACAATTATGTGCATATTTGTGGCTTTTGAGAGAGCTATTGCATGTTTACCCCTCATAAGTATTTGAGAGATAATCTATATTTTTAATGTCCAATGGATTACTGCCCCCATTCCTCTTAAACCATTTTGTTGTTGTACCACTATTAAGAACTTCCTAGTAGACTTTTTTTATTACCGTTGTATTCTTTATGTGCAGACAAAGAACATTATCCATGGAGGCAAAAAGGGGGAATGTATGAGAGTATAGTGGCACCAACACTTGTATGAGTGTGAAGCAGTTTGTGAATGTTGCAGCAAGGAGGCTGGGGGCAGTGATGTCATGTCAGAGGGCAAAGTGTGGTGTGAATGTTATATAGAGAATTCATAGCTTGGAGATTAGGAGGTGTGGAGTTTCTTAAAGTATTATCCAGAGGGCTGAAGAGGGGTTTAGGTGGCTTGGACATTGAGAGGGGCTGGAACAAAATAGGATGACTTGGAGGCCATTTAAAATCTGTAGTGGAGAGAAGGCAGGTTAGGGGTCATCCTAGGTAAGGTTAGAGGGAAGGGGGTAATGGTGGTTTCATGTGAGAGGGGCTTAGACCTCCAGCAAGTGTGTGTGAGCGTGTTAGGGGTGGAAGCAAGTGGTTTTTATGACTTGACATGCTGTTAGAGCCTGAGCAAGATAAAATTTGAAGGGCTTCTGGGAAAATGAATACCCAGAATTGACTCCTGGAGGTGGAAGTACAATGCCTGCACTTTGAAGGAGGGGCAAGTACATTTGCAGTTCTGAACTGGAGTACTGGGGCCCCTCTGGCAAGAGGGTGATGGTGTGTGTGTGTGATAGTGACGGTTTCTTCTTTTTTGGGTCACCCTACCTCGGTGGGAAACAGCCGGTGTTAAAAAAAAAAAAAAATGTGTAAGCATGCATGTGCACACACAAGTGTGTTGGACCTGTATCTCTTACAACTTTAGTGTACTTTAAAACCTCTTATGCCTTAGTTTACAGCTAAGGTCCTTGTTCTCCCTGTTGAAGTGAACACCATCAATATTTAACTATTTTTTGTTTCTTTTATGTGCTTACCATGTTTTCTCTCCCTCTTATAGTACCAGCCAATGAAGGTATTTTTAGGGTTTTCAGCCATTCTTTATAATTTTTTTTATTTACCTTGAGTGTTGTGTTTATATAAACAGGTATACATATACAGCCATTCTTTCTCTGTTTCATCTCATGTGGGTTTTTCACTCTGATTAGTATTCATTTACACTGATGCATAAACACACACACATACATAAGCATACACACACACACATAGGTAATCACATACAGTAGGTAATATATAATTTTTCCAATGATTAATAGGGGAACAGAATGATAAACATGACAATTTTGTTACACTACTTGTTTTGTATTCTCAGTAACAAATCAAATAGCTAATAAAATAAAAATCCAGAAAAGTATAATAACATGGCTTAAATTTACATAAGTCTTAGAAATATGTACTCAAAACAAATAAGCCATACATTGTCATCACATAAACCTAGTGTAACATTTACTTCTCACACATTAAATCATCTGCAAAACTCAAAGCCAAATAAACCACACTCAGTGATATAACACAGTGCATAGAGTTTGCCTGTCATCTTCTTCTTTTGTGGAAAAATTAAAGTCTTTGTTCGACAAGCACAAAGATCACCGCCTCATTTCCCACAGCCAACAACAGCACATTATGACAGATTATCACTTGTCTTCATTCCAAGCATGTCCAGGCTGATATGCTCAACTGATCATACCATCATGTATAGTCCTAAACTTTTAAATATTTCTCTAAGACATAATTCAACAACATTTTAATATCAATGCCACTGTGAACAGTGTCAAAAACAAAGTAACTCAAATTACAACATTCTAGTAAAGATTTTCACAGGATTCCAATTCAGGACCAATCACCATTGCACATCATCACTTACAGTAGCAGTCTATGGCAAATACTTTACATACATTTGACTGCAAATACATCATTCAAGTCAAAGATGTACTTAAAATATACAAGTGTGTTCTAAGAAAAATTTTGATACATTGAATTTACAAAAAAAAAAAAAAACACTTTTGATTATTATGTGGTCATTTGGCTGTCTTCTTCAATCCAGTCTATTTACTGGATTCAAGTCTGAAGTCTAAGGCATTAAAATCTTCATATAATACATTAAAATTTGAGGTACCAATAACTGCAAATGTTGATGATGCTTAACCCATGGCTTCTGATGCCACTTGTCAACATCTGTCTTTATTTGCCACAACACTTTGTGCAAAGTTCAGCAGCACAAATTAAAAATATTTATAAATAGAAGCATCATGTTATAAGCTGAATTTCAGGTGCCAACTGTGTATCAAATACACAAATTAGCTTTATTTATATATTCTTGAGTCACTGTTGCATATTAGTAATGCCTCCACTATTACACTTTTATTAACCCAAGGAAATTTTATTTATTCAGCTTTTATAGAACAAACGTAAATCACACAAACAACTTTTAACAACGTTAAGCTAACACTGCTCACAGTAGTCACACATCACCTCTATCCCTCGTGTGCTGTACTAGTTTCCATTCCCTTAACTTGGAGAGTAGCCTCAAAATGTCTCTGAGAACTGACTTCTTTTCCCATTCCCCTCGAACAAGTGAAATAAAAGTTAACACTTGGTACCCAAACACTTTTCTTATCATTTTATATACTGCACCTTCATGGCTGATAAACTCAAATTATTCTCCCTTACACTTATCCAAAAAAAATTTGTAAGCATCTCTCAAACAAAGCCAAAGTTTTTAGTCTTAATGGCTAGGAGTAGTTTGGAGCGTAAAATAGCACGTGTTGAATAGAGAGGGATATATAGGCGGCTGATGCACGTGTTTGCTGTAGGAAGGTGGGAATCATCTGCCGGCCGGATGGTAACTGATGGCATAGGCTGGAATCCTTCTTCAGATGCAGGCAAAGCAGGTGAACCAGTCCAGAAATATACCTGAAATATAAATCAGTATGGTAGTTTTAACATGCAAATTTATATGCTTCAGCATATATATTCCTCTATCAACCTCTTATACTACACTGTAATCTTATAGGAAGTTCATTTAAAAAAACATCACCACCTTCTTGCTCAAGTACTCTTTCCTCCATGTGCTGAATATTCATAATAAATGCATGTAAACAATTCAATGTAGCAAATATGATCCGATCCCTTAGTTTGACAGTTCTGGGATTACCAGTAGCACATTTAAATCTTTCTCCCTAGAGTAATGAACTATTTACATTCGTATGTAACAAAATTCCAGCACAATCACAAGTAACTCAGAAGGGACAAGGGGTAGAGCTGGTCATTAGCTGTTGATTAAGCTGGAGGCTTTCCATAAAATTATGTCTTATGGTTGCAGATGTGGCCATCACAAACCCTCCTAGTAAATCTAGTTGGTAATCCCAGGACTGCCAAACTGTGGGTTTGAATTCTGCTCATTATACTGAATTCTTTCAATCACCTTTCTTCAATTTTATACATAGGAACATACTACCACCATTCTTTTTTTGCTTTGCTGCACAATAAAATATGTTTTTTATATTCCTGTACACTAATATGCAAATAGCAAAGTGCATGTGTGATTCTCTTGTCAATGACATGCAGTTAAGAAACAAAAGCACATCAAAATTCTTGTGCTATAGCCCCTTCCTTCTCTTGATGACATGAGCACTAACATCTGTCAAAATGTTGTCTGGATCAACAAAAAGCTGAAGGCAGTGTTTGGCAACTAAACAATGATGCATTAGTGGCATTCACACACTACATTCCTTCTTTTTCTCTCCCTTATATGTTTGCACTCTTTCTACAACACTTCCTCCACTGCAAAACTTCACATGCATGGATAGGATGTACTTTTTTATGTTATAATCAATGCATGAGGGCTGACAATGTAGTTTTTAGTGGAATTAGCACTGAAGTGAGAAAAATTAATTTGTGATAATATGCATGAGCAAAAATGCAATTTAGGCAAGTCAGTCCCAATGTTTATCCCTCATTCCCCTTCTCCATCACATTTTCTAAATATGTTTCTTTGTTGGTACATTTTGGTCAAAAAATGTTGATTTTTTTATTTGCTTTCTGAGATGTAACTATTTTTGTTTCTTCAGTTATTTTGTATCAATATACTGAAGCAATATGTGTGAGTGAGGTGAAAGTGTTGAATGATGATGAAAGTATTTTCTTTTTGGGGATTTTCTTTCTTTCTGGGTCACCCTGCCTCAGTGGGACACGGCCGACTTGTTGAAAAAAAAAAAAAATTACTGAAGCACACTAAGGATCTACTCAGTGCAGTGTTCTGAGCACCTCTGCAAAAACAGTGATAATGTGCGAGTGTGGTGAAAGTGTTGAATGATGATGAAAGTATTTTCTTTTTGGGGATTTTCTTTCTTTTTTGGGTCACCCTGCCTCGGTGGGAGACGGCCGACTTGTTGGAAAAAAAAAAAATCTCAAAAAAAAGAAAGACCTCTGCTGCAAATCATTAGATTAAATGAATAGTTCTATAAATGAGACTGATTACAGGTTTTGCATTCTGGCAGAAATGCTGATCATTTCCTTATGACTCGAACATGTGAGATGATGATATTTTTTTGGCAAGGTTTCCTGACACACTCAGTTGAAGAGTTAATCTACTGTATTAAAATGTTTTTTGCTATAAACTAAATACACTATTACTATTTTTAACAACTTACCAAGTCTTGTTTTTCTTGATTAGTCATTTTTTCTACAATGGACCAGAGCCAACGCTTGAACTTGTTGAGACGGTCATTTGACTCAGCACTCTCATCATTGAATGAAGTATAAGAGATGAGAGTAGCAACATTGATGTCTCCAACTCCATTGAGTAATAGCCGTAGGTCCTCAGCTGTTAGAGAATCTAAAGAACCTCCGGGGATAACGTCGAACACCCCATCTCGAATATTCTATAGGGCATAAACAAAAGTTCAGTATTTCAATTGGCATTCTTTGTCATACATAACATAATGATTTGCTTATACAGTGGAACCTCTACTTACGAGTTTAATCCGTTCCATGACCTTGCTCGCAACAGGATTTGCTCGTTTGCAGAGTCAATTTTCCTCATTTAAATTAATTGAAATGGAATTAATTCATTCCAGTGGAATTCCAGGCACGAGATAATACTTTAATAATTGCCCTAATATCAACTCTACAGCTTATTTATCTATCACATTTCATGTAATATGACATAATGAACAATATTAATAACATAGAAACGTGATATATACACTAGAATGAATAAAATACATGTCATTAGGTATGTGGCTAGTGGTGGTGATAGCAGCCATTGTTGTTGGGGTTTATAGGGCCACCACAGCAGCCATTCCTGCTCCTGACTACATGTGTAGAGAAACTAGGATAACCCAAACTTATAAGTGTGGGTTATCCTATAACTACACTTATAAGTGTAACTACACTTATCCTATAACTACACTTATCCTATAACTACACTATCCTATAACTACACTTATAAGTGTAGCACTTATAAGTCAAGAGTGACTTATAAGTGCTACACTCTTAATGCTTCACTTAATTGCTACACTCTTAATGCTACACTTAATTACCACACTCTTAATGCTATACTTTGCCACTGCTGCTTCATGTTGTCTGCCACTGCTGCCTCATGATGTCTGCCACTGCTGCCTCATGATGTCTGCCACTGCTGCTTCATATTGTCTGCCACTGCTGCTTCATGTTGTCTGCCACTGCTACCTCATGAAGTCTGCCACTGCTGCTTCATACTGTCTGCCACTGCTGCTTCATGTTGTCTGCCACTGCTGCTTCATGTTGCCTGCCACTGCTGCTTCATGTTGTCTGCCACTGCTGCTTCATGTTGTCTGCCACTGCTACTTCATGATGTCTGCCACTGATGCTTCATGTTGTCTGCCACTGCTACCTCATGATGTCTGCCACTGCTGCTTCATACTGTCTGCCACTGCTGCTTCATGTTGTCTGCCACTGCTGCTTCATGTTGTCTGCCACTGCTGCTTCATGTTGTCTGCCACTGCTGCTTCATGTTGTCTGCCACTGCTACTTCATGATGTCTGCCACTGATGCTTCATGTTGTCTGCCACTACTGCTTCATGTTGTCTGCCACTGCTACCTCATGATGTCTACCACTGATGTCGCCAAAGAATCGAACATTTCTGCTATTTTGAGCTCAATTTCAAAGTACTTTTCATCGTGAAATCAATTAAAATCATATTTATTTTTGTAGTATATCTTCCATTCTATCACATGAGACCAAATAAAACGAGAATACAACCATAAAAACCATACGAAAATATACTGCTAAGGGGAGGCTAATGACTGAGAAGTGAACTCCGTTATTTATGGTCAAATTTCTTTCATTTTTGGTGTACATTAAGAAGCATCTTTTCATCATACATTGCCCAAGTTTCAATAAGATAGTCCAACAAACAACTGAGATCCAATTCCCTAGATCAAGAGCAAGAGCCCCCTCACCAATGTCAATTTACCTCCCTTGAGGCCCGCTCACATCTGGAAATTTTGCTTGCATCTGGAAGCAAAAAATCGATCGAGCAGCTGCTCGCATCTGGAAAAACTCACACGTGGATGCACTCGTAAGTAGAGGTTCCACTGTACATTATAACACACGACACAATTCACTCAATCATTAAATGCATTCTACTGATAATCTAATAAATCCACCTTATTCCATTAAAATGACAACATGAAAAATCAAAACTGAGTAGCATTATTAATTATATTTCAATAATTTACATTTCTTAAGCATTAACAAACATTTAAAAGTTCATCTGTTTATCTTTATCCTCCATTGTACTCTCCCCATCACCCTAACAGCTCTAGCACTCAAAATAGCCAGCTTATGGCTTTCTTTCTTTTTATAACAACAAAAGGCAAATCAAAACTCCCAAAGACAACTGTCCGTTTCAAGGCCAAATTCCAAAATTTAAACAATCATAAAAGAAGTGCTTAGATTCTTTCATATCTGCTTACCTGCAAAGCTTTCTCCTGAGATTTAACCATACGATATTCTGCATACTTGCGTACATAGTCATATACATTCCCAGTTGTTACTTCCACATTACGCCCTCCACTAATGAGTTCTATATTTGTGCCACCTTCCTCAGGGATCACATCAATACTGTCAAAGTTCACAGAAAATAAATATTAAATTAATTTTTATGTATATATGTACATTACTATATAACATTATACTAACCAATGATCTCCCTAGTTTCAATAGGCTGACAATATGATAATGATTCAAGAATGTGATTCTGGAGAGGAATCTTGAGCGGATGGATTTATGAAGGATGAGGTTAATCATAGAATTGATGAGGGAAAAAAGGTGAGTGGTGCGTTGAGGTATATGTGGAGTCAAAAAACGTTATCTATGGAGGCAAAGAAGGGTATGTATGAAAGTATAGTAGTACCAACACTCTTATATGGGTGTGAAGCTTGGGTGGTAAATGCAGCAGCGAGGAGACGGTTGGAGGCAGTGGAGATGTCCTGTTTAAGGGCAATGTGTGGTGTAAATATTATGCAGAAAATTTGGAGTGTGGAAATTAGGAGAAGGTGTGGAGTTAATAAAAGTATTAGTCAGAGGGCAGAGGAGGGGTTGTTGAGGTGGTTTGGTCATTTAGAGAGAATGGATCAAAGTAGAATGACATGGAAAGCATATAAATCTATAGGGGAAGGAAGGCGGGGTAGGGGTCGTCCTCGAAAGGGTTGGGAGAGAGGGGTAAAGGAGGTTTTGTGGGTAAGGGCTTGGACTTCCAGCAAGCGTGCGTGAGCGTGTTAGATAGGAGTGAATGGAGACGAATGGTACTTGGGACCTGACGATCTGTTGGAGTGTGAGCAGGGTAATATTTAGTGAAGGGATTCAGGGAAACCGGTTATTTTCATATAGTCGGACTTGAGTCCTGGAAATGGGAAGTACAATGCCTGCACTTTAAAGGAGGGGTTTGGGATATTGGCAGTTTGGAGGGATATGTTGTGTATCTTTATATGTGTATGCTTCTAGACTGTTGTATTCTGAGCACCTCTGCAAAAACAGTGATAATGTGCGAGTGTGGTGAAAGTGTTGAATGATGATGAAAGTATTTTCTTTTTGGGGATTTTCTTTCTTTTTTGGGTCACCCTGCCTCGGTGGGAGACGGCCGACTTGTTGAAAAAAAAAAAAAAATAGAAGAGAGCCAATAAATTATAAACACAGGGATGAGACAGCATACATTTGGAGTATACAACACACCGTACTTTTTTTTTGAAATAAAAACTTTCATTATATTTATTCATTGCAAAGTTAATGTAACCATTTATTACATCCATAATGAAGTAGTGAATAATATATTCTTGTGCTTATTTAACTTAATGTGCTCTGAAGGAAGGGTGTTAATTGGGGCGGCTTTTTAAACTGTAGTGTAGGTGCACCTCTGGCAAGACAGTGATGGAGTAAATGATAATGAAAGTTTTTTTTTTTTTTTTTTTTTTTTTTTTGGGGGGGGGGGGTCACCCTGAATCAGTGGAAAACAGCCAATGTGCTAACAAAAACAAAATACCAGATTATATTTAACTGTGGTAAGATATTACTTTCAACCTGAAATATTACAAGTGCAAACTCTCTTAGTTCTTGTAACTACAGCACATATTTGCATTTTCTCCATGGGGAAGTGGAGAAAAATCCTTCCTCTGTAAGCCATGTGTACTGTAAGAGGTGACTACAATGCCAGGAGCAAGGGCCTAGTGACTCTTTCTCCTGTATAAATTAATAAGTGTAAAAAGAAGAAAAACTTGATAAAGTTTTCTTCTTTTTCAGGTCACCCTGCCTTGGTAGGGAATGGCCAGTTTGATGGAAAAAAAAAATGGCAATTATCTATTCAAGTATGCAGGAAGGAAAGCACTAGAGCTTGGTCCTGCACTCTAGTGACAATATTACATCCCTGTATGGGGTCCACTCCCAATGAGTCAGTGGGGTAGGGGTCAGCCTAGGAAAAGTTGGAGGGAGGGAGTAAAGGAGGTTTTGTGTGCGAGGGACTTGGACTTCCAGCAAGCGTGTGTGAGCATGTTAGGTTGGAGCGAATGGAGACAAATGGTTTTTAGGACTTGACATGCTGTTGGAGTGTAAGCAAGATAACATTTATGAAGGGATTCAGGGAAACTGGCAGGCCGGACTTGATTCCTGGAGATGGGAAGTACAGTGCCAGCACTCTGAAGGAGGGGTGTTAATGTTGCAGTTTTATAACTGTAGTGTAAGCATGCCTTTGGCAAGATTGTGATGGGGTGAACGATGAAAGTTTTTTTTTTCGCTTTTTTATCAGTCATGTTAAAGAAATGCTTCCTGATAATCCTGTGACTCACTTGAGTATGCAATTTCCTACTCTACCCTCGTTTACCTTCCTGCTCAAGAATCTATCTTTGTCTACCTGGTCTACTGTATATCCTGTGGTACAGTAGTAAGATATATTCCTGCATTAACAAGTCAGCAATCTGTACCCATAGTAATCCTCACTCTTCACATTACTTAGAAAATCTTAAATCTAAACACAAGGTTAAGTAAATAAAAATATATAAATAGAGTACCTGAATGTGAGATCCAGAGCCTTAAACACGTCAGTGCCAGTGTCCTTATTCTCGGCATCTAACACTAGTTTGCGCAAACTCTCATACATCACTGGGTCGAAGAAGGCTAGGTCATGGAAGCGCACGGGACGCCCCAGAATATACTTTAGAACGTGGCGGTTTAGGTAAATAGGACACAATTCGTTTTGTAATAAGCACAACCCCAAAAGTCTGGCAAAAGATAATTAAATTATTAGTAAGAAAATTCCACTAAAACATCTTATGAGAGAAAATATAAACTGGACAATCTTTTAAAATAATTAAACAACTTTGTTATAATTCAAGTTATAAAATTCAGTTGGCCACTGACCTGCCAACATTACGGAATGCATTAAGTCTTTCTGGAGTTGGTCGACTCTGGCGAGGAGAGTAGAAACCTCTCTTGCCCGGCTGGTAAAACAGGGGTGCACTAGCATCCTCAGGCTCCTCTCCTCCTTCATCCGTGTCTATGGTGCATCAGACAGGCATATTAAGCAAATTCTCCCACTCTATTTTTTGTAAACATGAAATTTCAGAAAACAGTCTACTGTCAATCATAATTAAGAATGATTGCATGAAAATATATTTTCAGTGTCATCTTCAAAGGCACCTTATTAGTCTGGCATAGTGAGTCAATTTTTTATTTTCTTCCTTGGCATCCATGTTTTATGCTCATTTTATGCATTTGTAAGGGTTCATTTTTGTTTGGTATAGATTGGTCCATGGTGACTACACAATTCAAAAGTTACCATTCAGTAACTACTCTTCCACTTCCTTAACCTTTTAACTGTGTCCAACATACTAGTACACAGGTGCTAGTACTGTGTCCGACATACTAGTAAGCTTCATTTTTTGCACTCGCAAATCTGCCACCATCCAATAAATTTTTACCTCAGGACAACTCTTTGGGTCTTCTTCCATCTATTCTTACATTTGAAAAAATCTAATTCCAGCAGGGTCCACAAAATGAATCTGGTTAACTACTCAGGGGATGACTGTGTCCGATGTACTAGTACACCTCACTAGCAAAAGTAAACAAAGGAACCAGGAGCTGTTCCATCACCAGCTTCCCTACCAGCAAACAGGGTGTGCAAGAGGCTCAAAGATGACTTATTCAGTCAACATTTATTGTACTATTAATTATATTCATGGTACTGACAATGGAATTCAGGCACAAAGCACACTGGTATAACCCAGAATAGCCCAGTTAAATCAATGTGAATAATTTCCATGTTTTGATAAGTAATATTATAAGTATTCATTATACACACCCTTAGAAGACCAAACCAGTAAAAAATATAATAAAAGCACAATTATAGAGTATATATACCATATTTATAACCTAGTAAAATCAATCAATATGACTTATTTCCATGTTTTGAGGAGTATTACACTTGGAGACAGTTGTAAAGTTATAAGTATTCCTTGTGCATAGCTTAAGAAGACCAAAATAATATAAAAAAAAGAATAAACAACAATTATACCGTATATATTCCGTATATATATACATATACCGATTATTCCAAGTGAGGCAATGTTTGTAGTTTTAAAACATTTTGAAGCATCTAATATTATAAGAAACTAGTATATATAACTAGTCTGTCAATACACTTTTAACTTACCTTGGTGTGAGGGGGAATACTCAGGAGTATGATCTCTACCCTGGGCAAGTATTAGGTCCACTGCCTCGTCCACCTTTTGCCGAAGTGCATCCTCACTAGCAGAGAGTAGAAGCAGCTGAGCATGTGTTAACTCCAACAACATTCCAGTGATTTTGCTGGCCAGAGACTGTCAAGAAGCAAAATAAATTGAAGAATTAAATAATGCATTCATCAAATACAGTATCTACATTAAGGGAAGATTCTATATCTTAAAATATTTGAACAGGGTTTTTAAACAAGAACAGAAAACTAAATTAATAATGGTAAACCATAAGATTATGTATCCTTACATTAATGATATACACAATATCCAAGTAGAAGATGAATAAGATGCATGCCGAACACTTGGTTATCTGTATTGTTAATATGTTTCACCTGCTCAGCTGGCTTCTCCAGTTTGAATATAAAATTGATTAAGTTACTGAAGACAGTTGAAAAAGTTGGGATTTTTTGAGGAGTTTAGTCCCTCAGCCATCACTGACAGAAGCAAGCAGTAATTTTGAGGTATTCAGTCCCTGAGCCTTCTCAGCCATCACTGACAGAAGCAAGCAGTAATTTTGAGGTATTCAGTCCCTGAGCCTTGATCACTCCCAAGTATAGGTACATGGTTGGAGTTTTATATACTGTAGCTAGAAATGAGGGGTGACAGTTGGAGATGGCATTACAGGTGGGCCCACTAGCAGACCTACTGTCCCTGTGCCTGGCAGGTTGCAAGTCCCTCTCAAATCTAACCCTTCTCACACATTAAAACATGCTAGTAAGTTGTTGTGCAACAGTTGGAGATGTCCTCTGTATCAAGACACCACTGTGTTGCTGTGTCAGACAAGTACTGATACAAAAAAATAGGCACTTTTTAATTGCCATTTAAACTCACCTACCAACTTCATTTCTGATAAGGATACATTAAAATAACTATTTAGTAACCACAGTACAGCAGTAAATATCCTTCCAAATAAAAGATTATGCTAAAAGCTTACTCCTGATACAGTACAGTACTTACTGGCCTGAGGCTCTGTACTTTGGGAAACAGAGCTTCTCCAATTTGCAACATGTTGGAAGGTAGGTGTTCATTGCTGGTCCCCTCTCCTGTCATGTAGAATGGTCGAGCATCCACAGAGAGTGTCTTGCGAGCTTCTCTTCTCTGTAATGAACGAGATGACGATGCACCCTGGCGACGGTCTCTGTCACGTCCCTTGTATTGACCATATAAACTATATCGTACCACAGATAACCCAACCTGAGGAAAGAAAAAAAAATTATATGCACATGGAGCTGTTTTGGATAATCATTTACTATAATTTTAAATTTTAGGATGAAATGAAAATTTTATCAACTTCAACTCTTTCTGTGTCTCACATACCTCTACATATTAATCACAGCACCCTCAATTTTGGCCTAGATATGAGAGAATGGGTCTATACAGTAGGTGTGCACAGTATAAAAAAATCCTGCCCAACACAGTACATGGTGGGAACAACTAACCTCTGACCATGTCTTTGGTTTAAAAAAGCAGCTTGAGACATGTTTTAGGATTTTTTTTTCTTGGTTTTATGGGCAGTTCCCTGGTATCAATAGAATGGAGGACATACTAGTGAAATGGAGATGATTTTGGTCAGTTTCAGACCAGAATTAGTTTGAAATAGGCCTCAAAGTGGGGGAAATATATGATTTTTGGTGATTTTCCTGAGGAAGGGTTGGGCCTCCCCCCCTAGTGCCCATAAACCATGACCAACCATTCCTGGTTATATTATCCATGAAATAAGAGTAAATCTTCTGTGTGTGATGGTGTTTTTTTTTTTATGATAATGGTCTCTCTCGAGGCCTGGGAACTTGATTAATGAACAGAGGTAATGTTTTTTTTTAGTTTTGTGTACAAATGACCAAATTACTCACTTCTGTGCACTTATAGGGTAGATGCAATAGTTGAACGGGTGGTTTCTTGTGCTCAATCAATAGAATGGAAGGTATACTAGCAAAATAGATAAGAATTTGGTTGAATGGAACAATGGAATTTACTTAAACCTTTGACTGTCGAGACCCCTGCTCACAAACTTGCTCTCAGTATCAAAGAATTTGAAAAAAAAAAAAAAATCTTATGAAATGATAGAGAATCTTTTCCCGATGGTAATGACACCAAAAGTACGAAATTTGACTGAAAACTTATGGAATTACGCTCTCGCGAAGTTAGCAAACTCAGCTACATTTACACATCGGCAATTTTGCCCACTCTGAGCCCTAGTTTCGGCCAATTCCATTGTTCCTGTCGACCAAACTCACAGCTATTTCTTTAGAATTCCATTTGTTCTGTCGATTGAGTACAAGAAACCACCCATTTACTGATTTCAACCACCCAGGTGGTCAGAAATTGGCAATTTGGCCAATTTCACACAAATTAAAAGAGATGCCAATTTCAAAACAGGGTCCAGAATGAACAATGCAGACATTTCTGGCACTAAAATAAAAAAATTTCTGTTATCAGTCATATCTCCAGGCCCCTCTTACATTACTCTTGCTTTCTATTTTGAATTTTTATTCACGCAAAAAATAGAAGACTCACTGTTATGCAGACTACTGCATTATTGTAATAATTGAACCAAGTGAGAGAGTAATTGTGGTAGGGGACCTGAATGCTAAAGTAGGAGAAACTTTTAGAGAGGGTGTGGTAGGTAAGTTTGGGGTGCCAGGTGTAAATGATAATGGGAGCCCTTTGATTGAACTTTGTATAGAAAGGGGTTTAGTTATAGGTAATACATATTTTAAGAAGAAGAGGATAAATAAGTATACAAGATATGATGTAGGGCGAAGTGACAGTAGTTTGTTGGATTATGTATTGGTAGATAAAAGACTGTTAAGTAGACTTCAGGATGTACATGTTTATAGAGGGGCCACAGATATATCAGATCACTTTCTAGTTATAGCTACACTGAGAGTAAAAGGTAGATGGGATACAAGGAGAATAGAAGCATCAGGGAAGAGAGAGGTGAAGGTTTATAAACTAAAAGAGGAGGCAGTTAGGGTAAGATATAAACAGCTATTGGAGGATAGATGGGCTAGTGAGAGCATAGGCAATGGGGTCAAAGAGGTATGGGGTAGGTTTAAAAATGTAATGTTAGAGTGTTCAGCAGAAGTTTGTGGTTACAGGAAACTGGGTGCGGGAGGAAAGAGGAGCGATTGGTGGAATGATAATGTAAAGAGAGTAGTAAGGGAGAAAAAGTTAGCATATGAGAAGTTTTTACAAAGTAGAAGTGATGCAAGGAGGGAAGAGTATATGGAGAAAAAGAGAGAGGTTAAGAGAGTGGTGAAACAATGTAAAAAGAGAGCAAATGAAAGAGTGGGTGAGATGTTATCAACAAATTTTGTTGAAAATAAGAAAAAGTTTTGGAGTGAGATTAGCAAGTTAAGGAAGCCTAGAGAACAAATGGATTTGTCAGTTAAAAATAGGAGAGGAGAGTTATTAAATGGAGAGTTAGAGGTATTGGGAAGATGGAGGGAATATTTTGAGGAATTGTTAAATGTTGATGAAGATAGGGAAGCTGTGATTTCGTGTATAGGGCAAGGAGGAATAACATCTTGTAGGAGTGAGGAAGAACCAGTTCTGAGTGTGGGGGAAGTTCGTGAAGCAGTAGGTAAAATGAAATGGGGTAAGGCAGCCGGGATTAATGGGATAAAGATAGAAATGTTAAAAGCAGGTGGGGATATAGTTTTGGAGTGGTTGGTGCAATTATTTAATAAATGTAAGGATGAGGGTAAGGTACCTAGGAATTGGCAGAGAGCATGCATAGTTTCTTTGTATAAAGGCAAAGGGGACAAAAGAGAGTGCAAAAATTATAGGGGGATAAGTCTGTTGAGTTAAGGTAGTAGGTTGGTAGACAGCAACCACCCAGGGAGGTACTACCGTCCTGCCAAGTGAGTGTAAAACGGAAGCCTGTAATTGTTTTACTTGATGGTGGGATTGCTGGTGTCCATTTTTCTGTCTCATAAACATGCAAGATTTCAGGTATGTCTTGCTACTTCTACTTACACTTAGGCCACACTACACATACATGTACAAGCATATATATACACACCCCTCTGGGTTTTCTAATATTTTCTTACTAGTTCTTGTTCTTGTTGTTTATTTTCTCTTACCTCCATGGGGAAGTGGAACAGAATTCTTCCTCCGTAAGCCATGCGTGTTGTAAGAGGCGACTAAAATGCCGGGAGCAAGGGGCTAGTAACCTCTTCTCCTGTATATATTACTAAATGTAAAAGGAGAAACTTTCGTTTTTCCTTTTGGGCCACCCCGCCTCGGTGGGATACGGCCGGTGTGTTGAAAGAAAGAAAGAAAGAAGTCTGTTGAGTATACCTGGTAAAGTGTATGGTAGAGTTATTATTGAAAGAATTAAGAGTAAGATGGAGAATAGGATAGCAGTTGAACAAGGAGGCTTTAGGAAAGGTAGGGGGTGTGTGGACAAGGTGTTTACAGTGAAACATATAAGTGAACAGTATATAGATAAGGCTAAAGAGGTCTTTGTGGCATTTATGGATTTGGAAAAGGCGTATGACAGGATGGATAGGGGACCAATGTGGCAGATGTTGCAGGTGTATGGTGTAGGAGGTAGGTTACTGAAAGCAGTGAAGAGTTTTTACGAGGATAGTGAGGCTCAAGTTAGAGTATGTAGGAAAGAGGGAAATTATTTCCCAGTAAAAGTAGGCCTTAGACAAAGATGTGTGATGTCACCATGGTTGTTTAATATATTTATAGATGGGGTTGTAAGAGAAGTAAATGCGAGGGTCTTGGCAAGAGGCGTGGAGTTAAAAGATAAAGAATCACACACAAAGTGGGAGTTGTCACAGTTGCTCTTTGCTGATGACACTGTGCTCTTGGGACATTCTGAAGAGAAGTTGCAGAGATTGGTGGATGAATTTGGTAGGGTGTGCAAAAGAAAAAAATTAAAAGTGAATACAGGAAAGAGTAAGGTTATGAGGATAACAAAAAGATTAGGTGATGAAAGATTGGATATCAGATTGGAGGGAGAGAGTATGGAGGAGGTGAATGTATTCAGATATTTGGGAGTGGACATGTCAGCGGATGGGTCTATAAAAGATGAGATGAATCATAGAATTGATGAGGGGAAAAGGGTGAGTGGTGCACTTAGGAGTCTGTGGAGACAAAGAACTTTGTCCTTGGAGACAAAGAGGGGAATGTATGAGAGTATAGTTTTACCAATGCTCTTATATGGGTGTGAAGCATGGGTGATGAATGTTGCAGCCAGGAGAAGGCTGGAGGCAGTGGAGATGTCATGTCTGAGGGCAATGTGTGGTGTGAATATAATGCAGATGATTCGTAGTTTGGAAGTTAGGAGGAGGTGCGGGATTACCAAAACTGTTGTCCAGAGGGCTGAGGAAGGGTTGTTGAGGTGGTTCGGATATGTAGAGAGAATGGAGCGAAACAGAATGACTTCAAGAGTGTATCAGTCTGTAGTGGAAGGAAGGCGGGGTAGGCGTCGGCCTAGGAAAGGTTGGAGGGAGGGGGTAAAGAAGGTTTTGTGTGTGAGGGGCTTGGACTTCCAGCAGGCATGCGTGAGCATGTTTGATAGGAGTGAATGGAGACAAATGGTTTTTAATACTTGACGTGCTGTTGGAGTGTGAGCAAAGTAACATTTATGAAGGGGTTCAGGGAAACCGACAGGCCGGACTTGAGTCCTGGAGATGGGAAGTACAGTGCCTGCACTCTGAAGGAGGGGTGTTAATGTTGCAGTTTAAAAACTGAATGTAAAGCACCCTTCTGAAAAGACAGTGATGGAGTGAATGATGGTGAAAGTTTTTCTTTTTCGGGCCACCCCGCCTTGGTGGGAATCGGCCAGTGTGATAATAAAAAAAAAATAATAAATGTCAACCCATTTGTGACTGTATTAAAATGGCTAGTTGGACACTTATTAGACAATGACGCCATTTGTTTACTCTTGAACATTGGCAAAAATTGAACATTTCTACTAATTTGAGCTCAATTTCAAGGTCCTTGTCATTGTGAAACCAATCAAAATCATCTCTATCTCTGTAATATGTCTTCCATTCTATCGAACGAGACCAAGAAAACGAGAATACAACCATACATACTACAGTGGACCCCCACATACCGTTGGCATCACATAACGTTAAATCCGCATACCGATACATTTTATCGCTAAGATTTTACCTCGCATACTGCTAAAAAATCCGCTCAACGCTATTTGTCCGAGACGCGTCTAATGTGCGGCCTGAGCCAGCCTCACATGTTCCGCCGGTGGCATTGTTTACCAGCCAGCCTCCGCGGTAACATCCAAGCATACAATCGGAACATTTCGTATTATTACAGTGTTTTTGGTGATTTTATCTGCAAAATAAGTGACCATGGGCCCCAAGAAAGCTTCTAGTGCCAACCCTACAGGAATAAGGGTGAGAATTACTATAGAGATGAAGAAAGAGATCACTGCTAAGTATGAAAGTGGAGTGCGTGTCTCCGAGCTGGCCAGGTTGTATAGTAAACCCCAATCAACCATCGCTGCTATTGTGTCCAACAAAACGGCAATCAAGGAAGCTGTTCTTGCCAAAGGTTCAACTGTGTTTTCGAAACAGAGATCGCAAGTGATGGAAGATGTTGAGAGACTCTTATTGGTATGGATAAATGAAAAACAGATAGCAGGAGATAGCATCTCTCAAGTGATCATAAGTGAAAAGGCTTGGAAGTTGCATGAGGATTTAATTAAAAAAATGCAATGCCTGCAACTAGTGATGATGTGAGTGAATTTAAGGCCAGCAAAGGTTGGTTTGAGAGATTTAAGAAGCGTAGTGGCATACATAGTGTGATAAGGCATGGTGAGGCTGCCAGTTCGGACCACAAAGCAGCTGAAAAATATGTGCAGGAATTCAAGGAGTACATAGACAGTGAAGGACTGAAACCTGAACAAGTGTTTAATTGTGATGAAACAGGCCTGTTTTGGAAGAAAATGCCAAGCAGGACCTACATTACTCAGGTGGAAAAGGCACTCCCAGGACATAAGCCTATGAAAGACAGGCTTACTCTGTTGATGTGTTCCAATGCTACTGGTGATTGCAAAGTGAAGCCTTTATTAGTGTATCACTCAGAAACTCCCAGAGCGTTCAGGCAAAAGAATATCCTCAAGGCTAATTTGTGTGTGCTGTGGAGGGCAAACAGTAAGGCATGGGTCACTAGGGACTTTTTCTATGACTGGTTACACCAAGCATTTGCCCCCAATGTGAAAGATTACCTAACTGAAAAGAAATTAGACCTTAAGTGCCTCCTGGTGTTAGACAATGCCCCTGGTCATCCTACAGACGTGGCAGAGCGACTTTATGGGGACATGAGCTTCATTAAGGTGAAGTTTTTGCCTCCTAATACCACTCCTCTCCTGCAGCCCATGGACCAGCAGGTTATTGCAAACTTCAAAAAACTGTACACAAAAGCTCTTGTTTGAAAGGTGCTTTATAGTGACCTCAGAAACTCGATTGACTCTAAGAGAGTTTTGGAGAGATCACTTTAATATCCTCAATTGTGTAAACCTTATAGGTAAGGCTTGGGAGGGAGTGACTAAGAGGACCTTGAACTCTGCTTGGAAGAAACTGTGGCCAGAATGTGTAGACCAAAGGGATTTTGAAGGGTTTGAGGCTAACCCTGGGAATCCTATGCCAGTTGAGGAATCCATTGTGGCATTGGGAAAGTCCTTGGGGTTGGAGGTTAGTGGGGATGATGTGGAAGAGTTGGTGGAGGAGGACAATGAAGAACTAACCACTGATGAGCTGCTAGATCAACTTCAACAGCAAGAGGGGCCCGACCTGAGGAAACTGGTTCGGAGGAGGGGAGAGAGAAATTGAAGAAGTTGCCTACTTCAAAGATTATGGAAATGTGTGGAATGTGGCTTAAAGTGCAAACCTTTTTTGATGACAATCACCCTAACACAGCTATTGCAAGCCGTGCTGGTGACTATTACACTGACACTGTTGTGAAACACTTTAGGAAAGTCATAAAGGAACGAGAGGTACAGGCCACTATGGACAGATATGTTGTGCGACAGAAGTCCAGTGACTCTGAAGCTGGTCCTAGTGGCATTAAAAGAAGAAGGGAAGTAACCCCAGAAAAGGACTTGACACCTCAAGTCTTAATGGAAGGGGATTCCCCTTCTAAACACTAAGACTCTCTCCACCTCCCATCCCATCAATCATCACCAGATCTTCAATAAAGGTAAGTGTCATGTAACTGTGCATGCCTTTTTCAGTTTGTGTGTATTAAAATTAATATTTCATGTGGTAAAATTTTTTTTTTCATACTTTGGGGTGTCTTGCACGGATTAATTTGATTTCCATTATTTCTTATGGGGAAAATTCATTCACATAACGATAATTTCGCATAACAATGAGCTCTCGGGAACGGATTAATATCGTTATGTGGGGGTCCCATGTATATGAAAATACGCTCAAAGTTGACGTTTTAATCCAAAAACACGGAAGAGTTTTTTTTCTCATTATGCACTGCATGCTTCAGGAGTTTCTTTTATACTGCGCACACTGATTACACAGACCCATTCTCTCGCATGTGGACCTACCAACTTTCTCCCGCTTGATTTGAAGCCGCTAAAATTTTGGAGTATAAATACGTCAAAAACACTGGCTCGTAAGACCTATATATATATCAGAAACAGTCAAAGGGTTAAAATAGGATGCAAAGTCAGTGAAATCACCAATGCATAAATTGCACCCAGACCTCTAAATTTATACCTGCATAATTACATAAATTTTCCATCAAATTTCGTACTTTTAGTGTCATTAAAAGATTTTCTGCCATTTCTGAAGAAAAAAATTATTAATTTTTATAAATTTTTCTTAAAAAAAAAAAAAAAAAAAAAAAAAAAGACACTGGGAGTAACATGAGTTTTGGGGGTCTGGACAGTAAAAGGTGTTAAATACAATTAATAATAGCCTCTAAGGTGCATGGTGGTGCCAAGAGGAAACGAGTGGATCTCAGTGTTAGTCAGACTTGGCCGAGTTTGGCGTCTCAGTGGCACAGGTACGTGAGGAATGTGGTTTTAAAAATGTGTCTGATATCTGCAGAAGCAAGATCAAACTTAATGTAGATGCTAGTAGAGCTTTACAGCTCGTATGACTCGCAATTGAAGTTATTCCTAGTCACCACTATTGATCATGGCAGTTTACACATCTCTCCACTACAAAAAATTAAATAAAATTACTATAAATTACATACAGTACCATAAAACTGCTATACAGTACAGTACTGTACTGTATAGCAATACTACAGATTACAATACCCATACTGTTATTTTGCTTTCTGCATTAGCAGATAAAATCCACTACTTCAAAAGACAAACAGATCATCACGAAAAATTTATTTTATCATTTTGAAGTAATGGACAATTGGCTTCACTTTTTTTTTTAACACGTCGGTTGTCTCCCACCGAGGCAGGGTGACCCAAAAAGAAAGAAAATCCCCAAAACGAAAATACTTTCATTATCATTCAACACTCTCACCTCACTCATACATAATCACTGTCTTCGCAGAGGTGCTCAGATACGCCAGTTTAGAAGTCCCTTCAAACTGCCAATATCCCAAACCCCTCCTTTAAAGTGCAGGTACTGAACTTCCCATTTCCAGGACTCAAGTCCTGCTTCTCTTTATCTGTATGATAATATACAGTTTTCTTCTTTTTCCCTTAAGAAAAAAAATCCTTTAAAAATTCAAGTGCATCTACTGAGCCAATGTGCACTGTGTGAGGAAAAAAAATATTGCACAGTAAACTCTCAATATAACACTTTTAAAAATATAGGAAAAGACTACTTACTGGTTAAATTGTACATTTAACTCTTTTATTTCCCATGTTTATTGCAGTATATCTGTAAAACTGTGTACAGTACTTTATAAGAAACAGCAGAGAACACTTTAATGCACTTTATTTTTACTATATTTTAACATCATTCTGTGCATCTCCCAATAGTCTACTATATCAAGAGTATACTGTATGTATACCCTCATACACAGCCTACATTCACAAGTGAAAAATTAAAAAAATGCAAAACTAAATATAACACTGAAGAGTACAATAATAAATACTATCACATGAAGTTCAAATAACCAGCATTAAAAATACTTCAATATTGAACATCAAGACATCTTAAAATTACCCCCAGGGTATTTACAAGTTTCTCATTAATTATGAGTCGCATTGTCATGTCTAGATTTCTTCTCACTCAAAACAAAGTAATATTTTGTAAAAGGATTCAGGAAAACCAGTTAGCTGGACTCGAGTCCTGGAAGTGGAAAGTACCCTAATACTGATCTTTGAAGCACCTTGCTTGTTATACTTCCCCATTCTGACACATCTCCCCAGACAATTACCCTTTGCCTCCTTCCTAAGGTACACTCTGATCCACCAGAGTACATTTCCTGTTATTTCTGCCTGCACCTTAAGTTTTTTGCCCTCATTTCAAATACCTTCTTTCAGTCTTAAGAAAATGCAATCAAAAGAGGTGGGCAGGAGGAAGGAGGCAGGAAAAAGAGGAAGGATGAAATAAGAGAGGATGGAAGGAAACAGAGAGGGTAAGGAAAAGCAGAGGGGAGACAAGCAGGCAGGCAAGCAGGGATGGAGTGGGGGGGGAGAAGGTCAAGTTAGACATGGCACGGCATACATTTCTAGTCCACACTGTTACTGTGATATATAGGCACTACCTACTGTCTGCAAGTGGCAACACACACAATAAAGCTAGCTGCCTAGTTATATAGAAAAACTTGAGAGAATGACATACTTCTTTAGGCCTCACCTGGCAGGGCTCCAGGCTGGGAAGCTTCTCTCCAGATAGCAAAGCTTCGGCAATCGCTGTGTAAAAAGATCTGGCCACCCCAGAGCCTTCCCCGGGCTCATCACGGAATGTAACTTTAACCCGATTGACTGCTAGAGGAGGAGATGACTGTGTGCCTCGTCTATGGTAATTATTGTACTGGGTATTGAGTTCCTTAAATGTTTGAGTGACTAATTGCCCTCTCTCACGATCAATCTGCAAACAAAAATGGAAAATTGACAAGTGTTAATAAGAATATTACTATACATGAATTTACATTTTCTATTAACTTCATCAGAACTTCAATGCAGGTTTCCCTTGCTTTATGAAGTTTTGCCATTATGTGATGTCCCATTTCTCTCAGTAATTCTGTCCATGTGTGTAATGTATATTTTCCATATGCAAACAGTGGAGTTTTCAAAGCATATTGAAGATTCTTATTATGCAGGATTAAAGTGTTGGATGGCCTGACTGAGCAGTATAGCTGGAACACATCTACACCATTAATCTAGAGAAAAAATTAAAAGCTCATAAAAAAAAAACACTTGAAAAGTACACTTTCAGAAGCCCACCTTAGTGAGATTCAGATCACGCTGTTGACAATTTCGAAGCTTTTCCATTTCTCTTCTAAATTTGGCCTCTTTAACAGGGAAGCCTCCAAGCTGAGCAATTATGGAGCCTGGTTCAGCTCCAACATCATCTATGAACACTCTTCCAAACAGCTCTAAAGTCAGTCTCCAACGTCCTAATAGCAAGTCCTGAGATACTCCACTTCTTAATAAAGCTGGTCTGTGTTAAAAATACAAAATATAAATTATTTTTGAGAAATTATTCAAATTTAAGACTTAAGAATACACCAAGTAAATACAATTAGAGAGGAAAAAATTAAAGGAGAAAAATAATGAAAGGGAGTGACAGCAATTATGAAATATGAAGGCACCATTATGTTTGGAGACTACTGGGACAAGCACAACAATATACATTCAAAGGTGGGACCAGAACAAGCATAAGATACACACTGTATTCTCTCTCTTGATTGTATCTCACTCCACCTCAACCCTTCACCTCCTACATGTTTTTAAATTAATCATAATTCACCTCCCTTACTGTTAACCATTTGGTATTGAATCTAATGTTGTGAATCAAAGTCCTAGACCATACATCTACCCTTCATTTTCTGAGTGATATAAAAAAAATTACGATAGGGATACCCTATCATATACATAATTGACAATCTTTGATAAATAAGATAAAATAAATAAAAAAATTAAATAAATCAATATTGTTTTTAACACATCATCTGTCTCCCACCGAGGTAGTAGTAGATTGGTAGACAGCAACCACCCAAAGAGGTACTATCATCCTGCCAAATAAGTATGAAGCAGAAACTGTATTAACTCAATGGTAGGATCTGTTGGTGTGTTTTCTTTCTGTCCCAAACACACAAGACTGCAGGTACATCTTGCTACTTCTACTTACACATCCAGTAGGCATGTGTGAGCATGTCTGACAGGACTGAGTGGAGCAAGTTGTTTTAGGGACTTGATAAGTTGCTCGAGTGCAAACAAGGTAACATTTCATAAAGGAATTCAGGGAAACCAGTTAGTCAGGTAAGATAAGATAAGATTTCGTTCGGATTTTTAACCCCGGAGGGTTAGCCACCCAGGATAACCCAAGAAAGTCAGTGCGTCATCGAGGACTGTCTAACTTATTTCCAATGGGGTCCTTAATCTTGTCCCCCAGGATGCGACCCACACCAGTCGACTAACACCCAGGTACCTATTTGCTGCTAGGTGAACAGGACAACAGGTGTAAGGAAACGTGTCGAAATGTTTCCACCCACCGGGAACCGAACACGGGCCCTCCGTGTGTGAAGCGGGAGCTTTAGCCACCAGGCCACCGGGCCTGGGGATATCTGCAGTTTGGAAGGGCATTTGAACTGTAGTGTCTACATGCTTCTGGCAAGTGATGAAGTGAATGATGGTTAAAGCATTTCTTTTTCGGGTCACCTTACCTTGGTGGGAGATGGTCAGTGTTAAAAAAAAAAATCTATCTACATATCTATCATTCACACGCAGGCAGAAGTGTACAGAAGTTCAAGTACCCGTATTCTTAGTGCCTAGTTATCTTCTGCATCAGCAGACCAAGTCCACCACTTCACAAGACAACCGGACGCTCGTGAAATTTTAATTTCATAATTAGAGAATTGCAGACAATCAGCATTATCCAACTCCCTATTAGTCCATTAATGAAAGGTTTTATTATACTTAACATTAATATTGCAAATTGAACTTAGATCTTTGGATGTTTGCTATCACCACAAAATTCATTCCATCCCCAAATACATTCTTAGACATCCTACAAGTTTACAATCAGTGAATAATAAAAAAAATCCACAAAAATTTTTGTGCATTTTTTATGCTCTTATTAAATATAACTCCAATCTGACATTAATAAAAAGGAATATCCAAAAGAAAAATTTGGGCTTGGAAAACCCTATGAACATAAGAACATAAGAAAGAAGGAACACTGCAACAGGCCTACTGACCCAAGCGGAGCAGGTCCATGTTTCCCCCCCGGATTAGACCAATGACCCACCCCCCGGATTATCCCAATGACCCACCCAGCCTGGTCATCTCCACTCAAGGATGGAGCACTGCACCAGACCCAGCAGCACAAGCTAGTCAGGTCAACTCACACCCACCCACACCCACTCATGTATTTATCTAACCTATTTTTAAAACTACACAACGTTTTAGCCTCAATAACTGTACTTGGGAGTTTGTTCCACTCATCCACAACTCTATTACCAAACCAGTGCTTTCCTATATCCTTCCTGAATCTGAATTTTTCCAACTTGAAACCATTGCTGCGAGTCCTGTCATGGCTGGAAATTTTCAGCACGCTATTTACATCCCCTTTATTTATTCCTATTTTCCATTTATACACCTCAATCACATCCCCCCCTAATTCTACGCCTTTCGAGAGAGTGCAGATTCAGGGCCCTCAATCTACCCTCATAGGGAAGATTTCTGATACATGGGGTCATCTTTGTCATTCTCCTTTGTACGTTTTCCAGAGCATTTATATCCATTCTGTAATACGATGACCAGAACTGAACAGCATAGTCTAAATGAGGCCTAACCAAGGATATATAAAGTTGAAGAACAACCTGAGGACTTCTATTATTTATACTTCTAGATATGAAGCCAAGAATTCTGTTAGCTTTATTGCGAACACTAATCCACTATTGTCTTGGTTTTAGGTTACTGCTAACCAGAACTCCTAAATCCTTTTCGCAATCAGTAGTATTAAGATCTACATTATTTAGTTTATATGTGGCATGGTTATTTAACTGTCCAACATTTAGAACTTTGCATTTGTCAATACAGTGGACCCCCGCATAACGATTACCTCCGAATGCGACCAATTATGTAAGTGTATTTATGTAAGTGCGTTTGTACGTGTATGTTTGGGGGTCTGAAATGGACTAATCTACTTCACAATATTTCTTATGGGAACAAATTTGGTCAGTATTGGCACCTGAACATACTTCTGGAGTGAAAAAATATCGTTAACCGGGGTTCCACTGTATTAAACTGCATCTGCCACTTCTCCGACCATTGCGTCAGTCTATTCAAATCATCCTGGAGTGCTCTAATGTCCTCATTAGAATGAATTGGATGGCCTATTTTGGTGTTATCAGCAAATTTGCTCATGTCGCTATTTATTCCCTCATCTATGTCGTTTATGTAAATTGTGAACAACGGGCATAACACTGACCCCTGAGGAACACCGCTTGAGACGTGCCCCCATTCTGATTTCTCCCCATTTATGCAAACTTTCTGCTGTCTAATTGTCAGCCATGCCTCTACCCAGGAAAAAATTTCTCCTCCTATTCTGTGTGCCCTAAGTTTCCTCAATAGCCTCTGGTGTGGAACTCTATCGATAGCCTTACTGAAGTCCATATACACAATATCATATTCATTAGCATGATCTACCTCCTCAAACACAAATTCTGAATTAAATCTTATGGTTAGTTTTGAATTTTGAAGTAATGCACCATTAAAAAAATAATAAAAAAAGGCTCCACAAAAAAACATAATCACAGCTATTCACACCTAATTGGGGTTCAAATCTATATGAATTAAGACTTGGGTAGGTAGTTACAAATAATTTTCATGATTTTTTTTTTTTTTTTTTTTTTTTTCAACAAGTCGGCCGTCTCCCACCGAGGCAGGGTGACCCAAAAAAGAAAGAAAATCCCCAAAAAGAAAATACTTTCATCATCATTCAACACTTTCACCACACTCGCACATTATCACTGTTTTTGCAGAGGTGCTCAGAATACAACAGTCTAGAAGCATAAACATATAAAGATACACAACATATCCCTCCAAACTGCCAATATCCCAAACCCCTCCTTTAAAGTGCAGGCATTGTACTTCCCATTTCCAGGACTCAAGTCCGACTATATGAAAATAACCGGTTTCCCTGAATCCCTTCACTAAATATTACCCTGCTCACACTCCAACAGATCGTCAGGTCCCAAGTACCATTCGTCTCCATTCACTCCTATCTAACACGCTCACGCACGCTTGCTGGAAGTCCAAGCCCCTTACCCACAAAACCTCCTTTACCCCCTCTCTCCAACCCTTTCGAGGACGACCCCTACCCCGCCTTCCTTCCCCTATAGATTTATATGCTTTCCATGTCATTCTACTGTGATCCATTCTCTCTAAATGACCAAACCACCTCAACAACCCCTCTTCTGCCCTCTGACTAATACTTTTATTAACTCCACACCTTCTCCTAATTTCCACACTCCGAATTTTCTGCATAATATTTACACCACACATTGCCCTTAAACAGGACATCTCCGCTGCCTCCAACCGTCTCCTCGCTGCTGCATTTACCACCCAAGCTTCACACCCATATAAGAGTGTTGGTACTACTATACTTTCATACATTCCCTTCTTTGCCTCCATAGATAACGTTTTTTGACTCCACATATACCTCAACGCACCACTCACCTTTTTTCCCTCATCAATTCTATGATTAACCTCATCCTTCATAAATCCATCCGCCGACACGTCAACTCCCAAGTATCTGAAAACATTCACTTCTTCCATACTCCTCCTCCCCAATTTGATATCCAATTTTTCTTTATCTAAATCATTTGACACCAACCACCCAGGGAGGTACTACCGTCCTGCCAAGTGAGTGTAAAACGAAGCCTGTGATTGTTTTACATGATGGTAGGATTGCTGATGTCTTTTGTCTGTCTCATAAATATGCAAGATTACAGGCATGTCTTGCTACTTCTACTTACACTTAGGTCACACTACACATACATGTACACATTTATTTATACACACTCATCTGAGTTTTCTTTGATTTTATCTTAATAGTTCTTGGTCTTATTAATTTTCCTTTTATATCCATGGGGAAGTGGAATAAGAATCTTTCCTCCGTAAGCCATGCGTGTTGTAAAAGTCAACTAAAATGCCGGGAACAATGGGCTAGTAACCCCTTTTCCTGTAAAGATTACTAAAAAGAATAAGAAGAAGAAAATTTTCATGATATAGCTATTAAATGGTCAACTGAATTGGCATGTGCTTTAGTAATGCGGACACAGTGATTTTGTGTGAATGATGGTGAAAGCTTTTTTTTTTTTATTATTTATTTTTTTTGAGTCACCCTGCCTTGGTGGGAGACGGCCAATGTGTTGAATAAAAATATAAAGCCTCTCCTCACTTAGCGACATACTAGTTTACCAATGCCTCAGA